CTCAGTTTTTCTGGAAAAGTTCTGACAGCGTCAAAACAACAATAGAAATTTTGGGAGCCATCAAAGTACCCGCGACTTAGCCGAATCGCGACTTACCGAGGCGCGACTTAGCGAGGGGCCACTGTATATATATATATATATATATATATATATATATATATATATATATATATATATATATAACATGATGTATAACGAATATATAAAATTTAAATATAATCAGTCAAAGCATTTAAGAGATATGGCTCTAGAAGCCCAACCATTAAAACAAAATGCCCGCTAATCAGCCATTTTGAATCCAATCTGAAAAATAAAATGATGTGCATCAAGAACCCGTAATGTCTAATGTATGTTATAAGTTTGAACAAAATCCATCCATAAATGCAAGAAATGCTTGATATTTGAGGATTTTTTAGCACAAAAATAGCCACCATTTGGCCGCTTTGAAAAGGATCATCAAACCAATATATCCGTATATCTACGACATGATGTATAATGAATATTAAATATTTGAAATAATCAGTCAAAACAAGTCAGACATATGGGTCTGGAAACCCATTCATTAAAACAAAATGGCCGCCAGACAGCCATTTTTAATCTGATCTGAAAAATAAAATGACGTGCATCAGGAACCCGTAATGTCTAATGTATGTACCAAGTTTGAACGAAATCCATCCATAAATGCCAGAAATGCTTGATATTTGATGATTTTTTAGCACAAAACTGGCCACCATTCTGCCATTTTTAATAGGATCATCAAACCAATATATGTGTATATCTATGACATGGTCTATCAAGAATATTTAAAATTTGAGCATAATCATTCAAAGCAAGTCAGAGATAAGGCACTAGAACCACATTCATTAAAACAAAACGGCCACCAGTCGGCCATTTTGAATCTTATCTGAAAAACAAAATGGTGTGCATCAAGGTCCTATAATGTCTAACGTATATACCAATTTTGAACAAAATCCATCTGTAAACAGCCTAAAAATGCTTGATTTTAATGATTTTTAGCACAAAAATGGCCGCAATTCGGCCATCTTGAATCAGATCGTGCATATGTATAATATCATGTATGATGTATGTGTGAAGTTTGATTGTGATTGGTCCAGGCATTTCTAAGATACAGGTCCGAACGCACGCACGCATGCACACACGAACAAACAGAGGTCAAAACACAAGTCCCTGTTTTCGGACTGCATCCGAACGGGGACTAAAAATAGCAAATTTTACATCCAAAATGACCACCAGTCGGCTATTTTTTCTCCTGATCATAAAGTAACTTGACACGCATATGTAAGACATTATGTATTGTCTTCATGTAAAGTTTGAATGAAATCCAATGGGTGTCCAAGATATAGCTCCGAAGGTACGTACATACGGACGAACGGAACGAACCCATATTAATAGTCCCTGTTTTCGGACTTCGTCTGAACGGGGACTAATAGCTTGAAAACCTAATGTAGAACCAAAATTCACTATGCAGATTCAAGAAAATCATGCAAGCAATCTAAGAGAAACAGATGTTAAAAAGATGTGCATCTGTAATCCAAGATGTATGATCCTGATACAAAGCCAAGTTCCTCTGTGAGAAATGATATCAGATACATTCACAAATAAAAAAAATACATTCTTTGGTATTACCTATATTAATAATAGTACTTGAGTACAAACTTTCAACTAAATCAGGTGATATATTAAGCGAGAAATCAGCATAACAATTAATAATCAAAGAAAGCTTAGAAAGAACTCCCGTGTGCTGAGAGTATTGGAGACACATTAAAAATTAATTCAAAATTACTTGAACTTGAGATACTGATGGAAAACCTTATGCAAATAAGGTAACTAATATGAACAGATATAAGTGTAAAACTAATAAGGTCTGCACACTGTAAAAGTAATAAGATCTGTGCAATGTAATATCTATGTACCAAGTTTCATTGAAATGTGATTAGAACCAAAAAATTATTAATTATTATGCTAATTAGAAAATTAATATGAACAGATTTTAACCCAAAATTAATCAGGCTGACTATTGTCCTAGAGCATTTATGTACCAAATTTTATTCAAATGTGATGATCAGTACTTGAGATACAAGTATTAATTATGTTTATTAGGTGATCAAGAAGCGTAAATATTTACCAAAAACTAATATGGTGTATAGTCCTAGGTTCATTGAAATGTGATGATGAGTACTCTTTAAAAGTGTCATTAAAATCCAATGAGTGGTTCTTTAGACATCAGTGCAACAGCAATGGAATAGCAAAAAATTAACTAATTATGCAAATTAGGTAATTAATATGCACAATTATTTACCCCAAAATTAATCAGGTCTCTGCATAGTCCTAAAAGATCTATGTCGCAAGTCTCATTGAAATGTGATGATTAGTACTTAAGATATCAGGTGAAAAGCTGAAAATTAACTAATTATGCTAATAAGGTAATAAAAATATGATGATTTTTAGGATTTTAGACAAAATGGCCACCAATTCGACAAATTTGATCAAACCACAAAATAACACATCCTATGTATGATATAGCTTAATAGTATAGTACTTGTGTACATATTAACAGCCCCCAATTTCAGACTTTGTCTTCCTGTCACAGCTGGGATGATTTTAGTTGGGAAAGGTACAAACTGTAAATGTGGAAAATGAATATATGTTTTACATTATACATTCAGATTTGTAAAAATCCACTGGAACCATAAAATGAACATGATGAACCAAGAACAAAACAAAATTTTTATTTCATATGTCTGAATTTATCTTACAAGGGTCATGTTCATCATCAATAAGGACAGGCACTTTTTATTCACTAACCAGTCCGATTGGCTGGCAGTCAACCCTTGGTATCCATTAAACTGGTTTTGACTGTTCATCCAAATAGGTCTTTCATGACAACTACTTGCATAGCAAGCAGTGCCCTTCAATCACTAAAATGAGTCGAAAATGCTTGAAGCATTCAACTCCAGCAATATAATGGAACAGCACAAATTAAGAGGAAGGCGCGACATTGCACTTTGTAACGTTATCCGATTTTATCGCCTAAAAATGTTAGACAGGTCTGTCTGGGCAACTATTGGGACAGTTCGTTTTTCTCTGATATTATCGATAAAATCGTCTAACAATGTACAGCAACGTCTACATTAGACAGGTCTGTCTGGGCAACTATTGGGACAGTTCGTTTTTCTCCGATATTATCGATAATATCGATAAAATCATCTAACAATGTCTAAGTTAGACAGGTCAGTCTGGGCAACTATTGGGTCAGTTTGTTTTTCTCCATATCGACAATATCGTCCAATAATGTCTAAGTTAGACAGGTATGTCTGGGCATCTAATAATGTCTAAAAATGTCTAAGTTAGACATCTCTGCCACATTTCATTAAATTTTATTAGACGATAATTATCCGATAATGATTTATATGACATTGTTGCGCCTTCATGCAAATTAACATAGACTTCATATACAGTCAAACCTGTGTTAGTGAC